AATCTGGTCACTAAGGGGTAAAACAAAGTAAACTAAGCGCATACTCCTCTAAAATGAGTATTGCACGTTCAATATTATTGTTCTATAGAAGCTGTAATTTATTATCCAGTATGTAGGAAGTTTCTGAATGTATTGAATTATTCTGTTACTGTTTAAAATGTGCCACTCATGTCTTGAGAGTTTACAATGCTATCGGTGTAGGCTCATCAGCTAATCCTTTTTTTTTTTTTTTTGCATCTTTAGGATTTGGAAAGTGGAACACTATGGTGCATCCACAAGGTAAGGGAGACTATGTCTTAAAATCAATTCAAGCAGAATAACTACTGCCCATGTTTTTTGTTATGGTGCAGTGAAGTTGTCAGTATGATCTCTGCATATAAATGTTTCTATTTTTGGCCTTGATTTAATACTTTTGCATAATCTTTTAAAATTATTTAGTATTTTTATATACTCTTAATTTCTTTTCTTCTGGCACTAAAATCATTAAAGCAGCTCTGTCAATTAAGGGGGTTGCAGAGTTTGCTTTGCATCCATTGTACAGCGCTACGGAATTTGATGGCGCTATATAAAATAATAATAATATGCCCAAAAGTGGAACACTTGTGCTGAGGTGATTTGTGGGAGTGGGGCAGGAGGTGCAAAAGGTAGACACTTAACTGAAGCTCTGCCTTGCACTTGTCTGCAAGGAGGACTGTTAATAGCATTTATTTTTACACATGAGCAAGAGTACAACACATACGTCTGTGGAGGATAATATAAGTTGTCCTAATACTGTAATGTGCTGGGGGTGTAGCAGTTTCTGAACCAGTATTGCATCTTTCCAAGGTTAAGACAGCCCAGCTATTAGCGAGCAAAATAACGCCTAAATTGTGCATAGAAAAAAAAATATATATCTTTATTTCCTGATTTAAAATTTGTGGCTGGGGTTGTACAACAGAGGGAAGACACCACCACAATGATGGTTAAGCATTTTATGTCTCTGATGAAATGCCTGTGAATCCCTTAAGTTGCATTTGTGGTGTTTTGTGTTTTGTTTTTTGTTTTGTTTAATTATTATGCATAGTTTTTGGGTGTTTTCTCTCTGATTACTTGGTGGTTTTAATCTTGGGTCTGTTGAGGGGGGCCACAGCATTCTATATAGATCAACTCTTCTGATGTCCAAAAATGTCTTGTTTTCCACAAGCGTTCCTGCATATGACTGTGGTGATTATGAAACTTAACAGTGGAGGCAACAGTTGGCAACTTAAACTTTGAAATTGCAATACATTCAATTTGAGTATTTCGTAGAGATTTAGACTAAGACTTTGGGAAATGTTCAAAAGTGACAGCCACTTTAAAATGACACACAGCATGTGCATAGTCCATCACATATTATATTATGACTTGTATACAAAGTTGCTAATGGTATTTTTATTTTTTTTTTAGCATCTTATATGGAAACTTCTGTGCGATGGCAAGGTAAGAAATTACACATTTCATACTGCATTTGAAAAATATATAATAATTCAGACCTACGAAAACACTGAAAATAAGTGTAAAATTATTAGTCTGGACCAGGATTTAAGTGATTTACAGAAGCAGTATGGAGAGGAATGCTTGGTTGTTATGATGATAGTTGCAAAAAGGTCTATTAACAGATTTATTTAACCAATTATTAACAGGAGTAGTCCCAGAAGATTGGAAGTTAGCGAATGTTGTGCCCATTTACAAGAAAGGTAATGGGGATGAGTCGGGCAACTATAGGCCAGTAAGCCTTACTTCAGTAGTGGGGAAAGTGATGGAAACCATGTTAAAGGATAGGATTGATGAACATCTAAAAACACATGGATTTCAAGATCAGACACAACATGGGTTTACTTCAGGGAGATCATGCCAAACTAATCTTATTGATTTTTTTGGATTGGGTAACTAAAATAATAGATCAGGGTGGTGCAGTAGACATTGCTTACCTAGATTTCAGTAAGGCGTTTGACACTGTTGCACATAAAAGGCTCATCAATAAACTGCAATCTTTAAGTTTGGATTCCAATATTGTTGAATGGGTAAGGCAGTGGCTGAGTGACAGGCAAAAGAGGGTTGTAGTCAATGGAGTATGTTCGAAGCATGATCTTGTCACTAGTGGGGTATCTCAGGGATCTGTACTTCTCTTTAATATTTTTAACTGACCTTTAATGTGGATAAGTGCAAGATGATGCATCTTGGATGTAAAAACCCAAGGGCAGAGTACATAATATTTGATAGAGTCCTAACCTCAACATCTGAGGAATGGGATTTAGGGGTGATTATTTCTGATGACTTAAAGGTAGGCAGACAATGTAATAGAGCAGCCAGCAGGAAATGCTAGCAGAATTCTTAGTTGTATAGGGAGAGGTATTGGCAGTAGAAATACTCATGCCAGTGTACAGAACATTGGTGTAACCTCAGTTAAGTTGAGCATGCATGGGATAGGCATAAGGCTACCCTAGCTATAAGATAAGGCCATGAACTAATGAAAGTATTTCGAAAATTGTGCAGACTAGATGGGCTGAATGGTTCTTATCTGCCGTCACATTCTATATTTCTATATGATGCTTCTCCCCTGTTGGGAAAGGGATGCGTAGACAGAAATGGATGGTTTTTGGTTTAAAGAGATACTCTAACCACCAAATAAACTTAATCTTAATAAAATAGTCTTGGTGTATACACCATGCCTGTCCCTGCAGTCTCACTGCTCAATACCCTGACATTTAGCAGTTTAAAGGACCACTATAGTGCCAGGAAAACATACTCATTTTCCTGGCACTATAGTGCCCTGAGGGTGCCCCCAGCCTTGGGGTCCCCCTCCCGCCCGGCTCTGGAAAGGGGAAAGGGGTAAAAACTTACCTTTTTCCAGCGCTGGGCGGAGAGCTCTCCTCCTCCGATCCTCCTCTTCTCCTCCCCGTCGGCTGAATGCGCACGCGCGGCAAGAGCTGCGCGCGCATTCAGTCGGTCACATAGGAAAGCATTCATAATGCTTTCCTATGGACGCTGGCGTGCTCTCACTGTGAAAATCACAGTGAGAAGCACGCAAGCGCCTCTAGCGGCTGTCAATGAGACAGCCACTAGAGGAAATAGGGGAAGGCTTAACCCATTCGCAAACATAGCAGTTTCTCTGAAACTGCTATGTTTATGAAAAAATGGGTTAACCCTACCTGGACCTGGCACCCAGACCACTTCATTAAGCTGAAGTGGTCTGGTTGGCTAGAGTGGTCCTTTAATTACTTTTGTTTCTGTCCATGCAGCAATAGTTACACCTCCCCTGACTGTGACTGAAAGTCTGCATGAACAAAATGGTTTATTTTTTATAAATCATGTTTTATTGTAATGCAATTGTCAACTTCATAGCAGTTTTGTTTAGTTACAAAAGTCATTGGTACTTCTGACAATACAACACAAAATTAACAGACAAATTACAGTTTATCAGAAAGGAAACACTAACATACCAAATCACTCCTATGGAAGACAAAGGTAAAATGCTGTTCTCCATATAAACGGCCTCTTATTATTGTGACGGCTGATTTGTCAACATTTTTGTGTTTTATCTTCTTATTTCTTGTAAGGTTTTAATCTCCCTCCATTTGGAAATGTGGATAATTTTTCATGGAATCAACCTGGAAATTTTGGAATGCCGGTCCATGACAATAGATACTCTCCAGACAGGTCAGTGATCAGTGGCTGGGCTTTGTAGACCCTGCATCTTTTTTGTTCTGTATTGTTACTTTCTTTCTCATCGTATTATGGATTTATTCACGAAGCAGTACATTTTAGGACATGAGGATAAGTAAACCATAAGCCAGTGGTTTCCAAACCAGTCCTCATGGCACACCTACCAGTCCAGGATTTAGTGATTACCCAGTTGTGTGAATGTGTTTTTTTTTCTTTTCTTTTCTTTTCTTTTCTTTTTCTTTTTTTTTTTTTCTTTTTTCTAAAAACACCTTGGACACAACTGGGCATCCCTAAATCCTAGACTGATAGTCATTCCTTTAGGACTGGTTTGGAAACCACTGCCTTAAGCCAGCTGCAAGTACTGTAAGGGGCTCTGGTGAAAGTGTGTAGTACATTTTACTGTTCTGTGAGCAGCTTTAATGTTATCTTGCATTTCTGAATTAGGTCTCCTTTAATGGCCTTTTTTTCATGCTGGTAATCAGCTGGTATTGTTAAAGGACCACTATAGGCACTTAAATCACTTCAGCTCAATGAAGTGTTCTGGGTGCCAGGACCATCTAGTTTTAACCCTACAGCTGTAAACATAGCCATTTCAGGAAAACAGCTATGTTTACATTGAGGGTTAATCCAGCCTCTAGTGGCTGTCTCCCTGACCGCCATTAGAGGCCGCTTCCACGATTTTCAGTGTGTAAATCGCATTGAGGACACGCTGACGTCAATAGGAAAGCATTGAGTAATGCTTTCCTATGGGTGGTTTGAATGCGCGCGTGGCTCTGTCTGCGCAAGTGAATTTGGAGCTGATGTTGGCAGGGAATGAGTGGTCACCAGCGTCAAGGGAGACCGGCGCTGGATTAAGCTAAGTAGCTGAAGTGGTTTTAACCTGGGATAGGGGCTTCAAGGGGGGGGGGCAATAACCCTTTAGTGCCAGGAAAACAAGTTGTTTTTTTGTGGGGGGTTTTTGGCACCATAGTGCTCCTTTAAGTGTATTCTCTTAATTTAATTCATTTATCATGTGACTAATGCAACATGTACAAAAAATTGGACATTCAGTGTTTTCATAATGGGCCTTTAAATTCTTCCCTTGAGTTATTTTCCTGTATGTTTATGGGTTGGCAATCTAAAACGGGGGGGGGGGAGAGCAAAAAAAAACATGCGCACATTTTTAAGGTGCCTCTTATAATCCTATATTTTCTTTCTTAGACTTCCATTCCACTCAGGTTTTGAAGCTTCAAATGGATTTGGATCAAATTCAGGATGTGATATTCCTCCCCTTCTTCTTCCAGCACCTAGAAACTCCACTTGGGATCCAAACTCAAAGCCATCGTTGGCATACATGAGACACAAAGCCAGTACCCAAGATAAAAATTGGGCCAAAACCAGTTCTACTGAAATGGTATTTGCTATTATGTGTTAATTTTTCATTGATACTCTGCTAGCTGCTCGACTGCTTCTTCTCCAGAAGCCCAAGTGTGTTTGTTTTTTTTGTCATTTATTTTTCTGCTGTAATGATGGGGATTTGGAAACACATTAAAGATGTAAAGTGCACTAGATCTAAGATGAATATAGAAAATATATGTGAATAGTTGTTTTAATTTGTGATATAAAAAAAAAAGAAGCATTTTGTAGTGTGTGTGGAACTGCTTTCACTCCCATCTGTCTGAGCCAGGGTGCTTGCTGTACCGGAAGCAAACACCAGATTCCTTGGTTCAAGACAGGCACCACAGCTGTTGTGGTTCCAATAAAGTGCCTGTCTTGAACCAAGCAGTGCCTGGACCCCTTTCATTTTACTCTAGAAATATAGATGCAGTCTTATTTATGCAGACTTTCGCACAGTAATGACTGGCATGTGTTTAATGTTAGGCATAGTGTATTTACACTTTCTTACCCTAGTCCAGACCTTGACAAACCAACGGTTTGATGCTACATGATTTGTTTACTAAAGCTGGAATTGGGAGAATTGACATGGTAGTTGCAAAAACAGCTATTTTTACATAATTCTTGAAACTTCTGCAACATTTTCTTTCTCATTTGAGATTAAAAGTGTAAAACACATAAAGAATTAAGAGTGTAACTAAAAGCAACATGAATAACCAAAAACTTATTTCTTCCAGGGAAGTAGTGGTGTACCTACAAACACTGTAACGGGTCAATTTAAGAAGAAGTACAGAAAGAAGAAGAACAAGTCACTTTCCATTTACATAAACTCACCGTATACACGGTCATTTGAAGAAGCAAAGAAAAAGGACTCACCTGGTATGAATATGTGTGTGTCAATATACAATATATATTGATATAATGTGATCTGGTTTTTCTGATCTCTAAGGTCACAAAAAAATTAATGTAAACTCTGCATAAGAAGTGAACTAACCTAGATACACTTGTAAGCCAGGGTCGTCTTCTTTCAATTTGCATTTTACAGCCCTAGGCAGTGGGAAACCAAGTGAGTCATTCCAGTTCATTAATTGATAAAAGCAAATTAAATATGCATATTATCTGTCTCCGCTTGACAGATTCTTCAATGTATCTGCCATTTTGCTGCAATTGTAAGTCTCTTAAAGAACCACTAAAGTCACCTACGCTACTTTGTCTCTATGCAGTTGTCTGGGTGCAGTGTCCCCTTGACCATGCAATGTAAAGCACTCCATAATTTTTTTAGAAACTGCAGTGTTTACATTGCATGGCTACATCCTCCTCTAGTTGCTGTCATACGAACAGTATAGAGATGTTTCCACATAATGGAGGAACCCTTATATGAAAGCATTGATTCAGTGTTTTCCTATGGGGAAGTTTGGATGCGCGCATGGTGCTTGCCATGCATTGAGCCCCCAATGCTCCTCTATGCCTCCTCCATGGTGTTGCAGAAAGCAGAGAAAAAAGCAGCGCCCAGGAAGCCTCGATACTGGAAAGGGGAGGGACGGGGGACTTTAAAAAAAAAAATTTTTAATTAGGGACACTAAAGTGTTTGGCATACATATAGGTAGTGCAAACCTACATAAAATGTAACTTCTAATCTCTACTCTGTTTATATATACCATGTTTGAATGCACAAAACATAGTTATTTAGTTTGTTGGCGTTTAATTTTGTTAAATATATACCCATTTCATACAAAGAAATCCTTCAAATATGCTATGAACTTCTAATGTCTCAAACTATTGCGTCAACTATACTCCAACTTATTGCTAATGATTACATCTAGACAAAGCAATTTTTCCAAGAGAGAATTTAGAATAGGGCTCCCACAGCAACCTGGGTGCCATGGTCAAGCTCCTACAATACCGAATAGCTAACCTCCATCCAGCATCAATTCAAAGCCCAGCAGCTAGAATCAAGAATACTCCACTAAATATTGCACTCACCCAAACTAGAGAATGGGAAACAAACACTGTCGACATCTCATACAAATAACAATCTCTTATCCAGATAAATATTTCTAACAGAAGGTTTGTAAATAAGTGAGAAAAGGACAACAGGGTAAAGTAACCAAACATAATGAAGGAAAATAGTAATGAGCTTAAGTCTGCAGAAAGAGCATACCGAAGCTCCTAAGTGCATCTGTCTAAAGATACAACACTAAGCTCCGTCTAGGCTTGGCCCCAATGCACATTTCACCAATCTCAAGGGGTCGGATCAGGTTTGTGTTCCTTTGACTTCTACTTTGTTTGTGATATTAAGTTTTTACCATGCCATCCATATATTATGCTAAAAGCCATGTGCAGACCTGCTGGTTGGCTGAGAGCAGTCAGCTGTAGCTCTCAGCCAATCAGTGACTCCCATTTAAACAAAACTGGCTTGGAAAGAAACATACCTTTTTTCCAAGCCAGTTTAGTGTCATCTGGCCACTCTCAGCCATTCAGCTGCACTCCCTTAATCTTAAATTTCAGAAGCCAGGTGCTGCCAGTGGGAGGGAGCTGGGATCGGCGCTAGAGGCGACTTTGGGGTAAAAATGTTTAACCCACTGAAGGTAAGAATGTGCCCGGGGCCTCCTGGCACTAGAACAATTTAATATAGATGAAGTTGTTATGGTGCCGTAGAATTCCGAAACTGTCCTTTTAAACCGTGTTACTGCAAAAGTATGCCATTAAGCTGTGTTGGCTAGAAACCTTTATACCTGACTAGCAGATAATAACTTGACACTTTCAACCTCTCCCTGAATAAAAAAATACATTCTCAGTTCTTACATGTTTTCTTCTTGCCTTTCTTTCTCTTTTAGCAGAACAAAAGATACTGGATCAGTCAAAGGCACAGAACAAGACAGCTGTGAGTATTATGCAGGAGTAGCCAAAATGTTCCACTGCTTATTTAGACTGTAAACAGAGGCATATTTAAATGTGGGTCTTCCTGTTTTATTACATTAACACATAGTCAAAAGTGCTTATTTGCTGGGCATGAACTTTCCAGTTTTTGTAAGCCATACAAGAATTTATAGTGCACTTGTCCATGCAATCTGTTTGAGTACCACCTAGTCTCGCACATTTGTGGATTACATGTCATCTTTTCTTAATTGCTACGTGTTCATATTTTGTTTTCCCATTATCGAATTACTCTTTTGAATTACTTGCAAGTTAAATACATAAATATATCTTTGGGGGCGGGGCCTGACCGCCGAGCTGGATGGAAGTGGGGCACCTCGGCTCCTCCATGAATACCTACTATCCAGGCTTAAAACTACAGTTCTCCCCTGCAAAACCACACAGCAACTGCAAGAAGGCGAGGGGGTCCAGAGCACAACACTCTGTGTGAGTAACTGCCCCCGTCCTACCGGCGATGCTGTTTGCTGGGCAGCTGGGATTGCGGCCTGTCGTGAGGCTCTGGCGGGAGACGCGGCCGGTCTCTCGCACTTAGTCCGGCGGGACCTCCCACACGCTTACTAAGGGCCCCGTTACCCCCCCCTCTGTGGGCCGGGGGGGTTATCCCGTACCCCACCGGGGAAGCAGTGACCACCCAAGAGCTGTGAGCCGCCCAGCAAAAGCCAAAATGGCCGCCACGACCCTCACTAGCTGGGGAATGGAGGCGGCAACAGGGGAGCAACCTCTGGGAACTGCCTGCAAACCAACGTGGACCAGACTACCACACACTAACTGCGGCCCGCAAACAATAGCACACTCTGGCAGCACATCAGACAACTCCACGGAGGGCATGCTCGAGCAAAGCCCACATCTGCGAACACCTGAGGCACTGTCCCACATGGTTACTGGCAGTCTCATAAGGGACCAACAGACATGGGACATAAACTCTTCTCAACATCAGAAGCTTGTACCTATTACAGTTGACTCTCATACTGCTGCTCCCTACAGAAAGCATCAAAGATACCTGAGCAAATATGGACATCCGACCCGATCGGCTCAACGCTCTGCTGCCCCCTGGTGGTTCAATCGTCTTCAGCATTGTTAAACCTACCTGGACATAGTTAACCCTTTCTAAGCATGGTTAAACCTACCTGGGCATAGTTAACCATTTCTAAGCATGGTTAAACCTACCTGGGCATAGTTAACCCTTTCTAAGCATGGTTAAACCTAACTGGGCATAGTTAACCCTTTCTAAGCATGGTTACACCTAACTGGGCATAGTTAACCCTTTCTAAGCATGGTTACACCTACCTGGGCATAGTTAACCCTTTCTAAGCATGGTTAAACCTAACTGGGCATAGTTAACCCTTTCTAAGCATGGTTAAACCTAACTGGGCATAGTTAACCCTTTCTAAGCATGGTTAAACCTAACTGGGCATAGTTAACCCTTTCTAAGCATGGTTAAACCTAACTGGGCATAGTTAACCCTTTCTAAGCATGGTTAAACTTAACTGGGCATAGTTAACTCTCACTGAGCATGGTTAACCCTTACTGAGAATGGTTAAGCCTCACTGAACATGGTTGACCCTGACTAGGCATGACTGACTCTAACTAAGCACGGTTAAATCTTACTAAGCATAACTAAATCTCATTAAGCATAATTCTGTTTGTTTATATAAAAAATGTGCAATGTTTCTTATGCCACATTACTGTCACCACATGTTTCATTTATGTTTGCACCAGCTGTCGTGGCAGTGCAAAACTGCTTGTTAAATCTATGCACAAATAAAATAAAGAATTAAAAATATATATATATATATCTTTAAAGATGGATTCTAAATTATACTTAAAGGACCACTTCACAGGCAAAAACATGGGAAAACAAAATAATTGCCGTTTAGTAGCTATAATTCAATGAATACATACATGTATTCATTGGGGGTATATCTTTCAAAAAGCTGTAGTTTTATGAAGCCTTTGCAAGCCCTCCCCTTTAAAAATCAATTAGAGTTCATGTGCCTGCTTGTACTTGTGTGCAAATAGTGTTCAGAAAGAACACTGGTCTGATATTGGGTATGAGAACAACTATGTGAGGGGAGGCATGAATACTGAAGTAGAGCACTCCTTCCACTTCTGTTAACTCAGGGGAGCAAGTGGAAGTTGGAAGGAAAACCAGGAGGGTGTTCCATTATTTAATAATAAAAGGTCAAATTTGTCCTAGAACACCTCACTTAAGGTGGATCTTTAAACGGTTGCTATAACCAAAAACCAGTGTTTTAACAAACTATTCCTAGCCTGATCCAACCTCAATCCAGCACAGCGTTCTCCTCTCAGTCCAATCTTCCTCTGCTGACATCTCTTCCGTACTTCGCAATTGACTGTCCGGCGCCAACATGTCTTGTGCCAGTTTTGCACAGGATTGATATTGGGCAGCCCAGAACTTTCAGACTGGCTAATGATGCGGACCGTCATGCTGCCGGAGGTGACGTTACACTTCCAGAATCAGAGGGGTTGCATTTGATGCAAATCCCCAAAAATTACATAATCACCATTGATCTATGTCTTACAGGAAGTAGCTTAGACAATTAGAACCCTCCCAGTTTGGAATCTTAACTGTTGCTGGACTTGTTAGAGGTGGAGAGAAGAAAACTATTAACGCACTGCTAAAATGCAAATCTGAACTACCTAGCAATTATTCTAACATAATGTATAGATTAAATGTTATATTCCTTTCAGTTCAGCTTAAATTTGTGTACTCCTGGCAAGTGCACATTAAATAGGTTGGCAAAGATATTGGGATGCTGACTAATTCACAGCAATAATTGCAGCAACAAATGTAAAAGGGGACATCTCTAGTTTGTTTGGTGTCAAAAATTTTATTTAATTGTGGAAGCTGAAAGTTATGGTTAGTGATTATGATAAACTAAACTATTGCAAGGGACCCACATGTGGAAAGTATCTCCTAATCACTCAGAAAATAAATTTAAGAGGTTGCTTATGAGTCTGAATTGTTAGTAATTTGTCATGAATTTTACATTTTACTCCACAATAATAAAGAGAAATACTTCAAGTCAACTATGTTTTTAGTTTGGCTTTTAAGGGCCAAAACTCTCTACAATTTACAAAATACAGTGTGTGCTATCACCACCTCACAGTCTGTGCTCGCGCTCTCTGGTCCCTCGTCTTGACACTTTCTGTTTTTGTGTAGGAGACAACCGAAGCACAGAATGGGAGGGAAAATAAAGGTGAGTTCTGCCAGTGGGACATCATTTAATTTTGTGACTTGATATTCCTGCTATATACTCTTATGTTAAAACTATAACTGTACAATATATTAAGTTGTTCTATCTTTTATTTTAGTTCGTATGAAAAAAGAGAAACTGAAAAAGAAGAAATTAAAGAAAGCACAGGAAGCTGCTGCTCTGTATGACAAGTAAGGAGAGTTTATGGATTTTAGGACTAGATGTAACCAGTTAAGCCCTTAAGGACGGCGGGTGTTCTATGCCGTCCTAAATGCAGCAGATAGCATAGAACATCCCCGCCGTCATTTGTACTCATCAGGTCCACGCAGATCCCACGGAGTGCCTGGAAGCTTCAGCGCTCCTGGGCCATGTGATCACGGGGCACTCGCGATCACATGGCCTGACTAGACAGCTTATTTTATTTTTTTTACTTAATAAAAGTTATAAAAGTGTTCATATATATATTTGTGTGTGGGAAAAATGGTATAAAAACAAATATGAACGCTAATTTTGGCCAGTGTTTGTGACTAAGTGGCTACTAAAACAGACTGGGCATATACCCCATTTGCAATACTTTGGGTTGTCTACTTTTGCAAATGGTATGCCATCATGGGGATAATTCTCATTCCTGGGCCATAACTAGTCTGGAAAATTTCAATGTGAAAAAACTGAAATCCAAGCCTTAAATTTTACTCTGTAACTTTTGAAAACACCATAACAGCATAACACCATAAAACCTGTATTGTTATACTCAAGAGACTTCGCTGAACACAAATATTGGTGTTTCAAAACCGTAAAACGTATCACAACGATGATATTGTCAGTGTAAGTGCCGTTTGTGTGTGAAAAATGCAAAAAGGGTACTTACACTGACAATATCATCGTTGTGATACGTTTTACTGTTTTGAAACACTAATATTTGTGTTTAGCGGAGTCTTTCGAGTAAAACAGTGCTCCCCATGTACAGGTTTTATGGTGTCTTGGAAAGTTACAGGGTAAAATATAGGGCCTGTGAACCAAATTCTCTGGACTTTCTGCCCGGGTTGTCAGGCAGGTTCGTCAAATTGTAAATAATAATTTACTTAAGTAAAAATATATATTTGATCAGTGGCGGGTGATCTGCGGCTATCTGGTAAGTGGGCAGGACGGCGTTTAGGACCGGGTCACTAAGGACGGCACAGTGCGCCCACCGTCCTTATGGGGGTTAAATGTCAGTCACTGCCATGTTTATGATAGTGCTTTACATTGGAAGAGTAAAAAGATTTGTATCCCTATGAAGATAAAGATTTGTATACGCCATATATATGAAATGTTGTACGGTCACAGGTTACATACTGCACGATCACAGTATTGCATTAAACATAAATTAAACATTTTTAGAAAAAAAATGTCATTTGATATAGGAGTCTTGTTTTGTAAATTTCTTGTGTCTGCAAATAGCCTGCTGGTGGAATATACATTATTTTACAATATACATAAATCAAAGTATACTGTTGAAGAGGTACTGTTACTTCCCAAGATTTAAAAGATTCTGTTACTAATACCTTTAACTAATTTGTATTTGTGAGTCCTTAAAATTAAACATAGAAATCTACATAACTGTAACTCTATCATTTTAACGGAGTGCTTTCACGTTGCCTCTGTCATTCATTGTTCTAAGCTCTGCCAAAACCCTGAACTCATTTGTAACATTAGTTTCTAGAATTGTTATATACAGTTAATAGAAAACACAATATCATAAAAAATTAAAGGGTCACTGGAGTCACTATACCCATTCAATTTCATTGAATTGGTTATAGGCCCTGGAATCCCCAGGAACTGTCCCTCCCTTCACTGTTAAACCATTTTCATGCAATTTAACACCAAATGAGGCTTCTCATAGCCCTGCCCCAACTAGAGGTGTGGCTAATGCAGGTCTTATACACTTCCTGATGGCCATATCATGTACTGTGATGGGCTGAAAGATGTAGGTTGACACTCACAGCCGCCCATTGCTACTCAGTCTAATGACTCTTCATTTGCCCGGGCAACACAGAAGGGATGAGCATCTGGGGAATCTCAACTTTAAAATATTAAAAAAAAGTTTCACACAGAACGGAAGGATGGTGCCAGGAGACTGCAGACATTGTAGCCACTTCAATGAGATGAAGCAGTTACAGTGCCTACAGTGTTCCTTTTAGCACAAATTATATGCAATATTTAAAAAATATATATATTTTTTTTTTTTCAATGTTTTATTCAGTGATGTAATTTCCAAAAAAGTGACAGTTCCCCTTTAATCCTATTAACCAGCTAGTGGTTTGATTTAGATTTTTTTTCATTAAAGGAAGCCTTTTCCACCACTCATCTTTTCTTTGCAGAGAAACTGTTAAAGAGGAACATCCAATGCAAGGAAATAAACCTAGCTTCAGAGCCCTCCATTCTGGAACGGTGTTTACATGCAGTTTGTGCAGGTTCCGCACTGAAGATGAAGTAGAACTTGAGAGGCATTTTAAGACTTGTCAGCATAGAGACATAATGAACCACCTGTATCTCCATTTACCCCAGGAACATGTAAACTTTATAAAGGTGACTTTGAGAAATGTAACTTTCCACTTGCTCATCCCTCCTAACGTGTAGTGACGTCTGTTTTTTCTCTGTTCCGTAGAGTTATTTGATTAGCACCAACAAGAGCGTGTCTCTTGAACGGCAAAGAAGAAATCTGAATTCCAAGAATGATTCATTCAAAGGTGGGGATATGGTTTCAGTGTGAATGGTTCACCAGAACATCTGATATGTTTACAAACGGGTTGTCTTTGTCTTAGGTATCGGACCGGAACATTTCATGCATCGGGTTGATGCAGTTCACTGCTTTGCTTGTGATGTCCTGCTTCATGATAACCCAGCACATCTGGCACAACATGTTAAATCTCAGATGCATACTCTGAAACGTAGGGTAAGTTGTCTAACTTTTTGCTTCACTATTCCATATTTAAACACTGGTGATAAAAGGCTATGTATTATTGACATATTTGACTATTACAGCCTGTCGCTGACCTCTCTGTCCTACAATGTGTAAGAGCTAGCAAGCTAAGAGAACAAGATACAATCTTTGACCCATAAAACTTGATTATTAATTTTTTATTTTTTTTTGTCGTGATCAGAACTGACTTGGTATCATGTAATCGGAATCTGCATATAATTTGTAGATTGTGCTAGCTGAATTGCTAAGATTTATACAGTTTTTTACCAATTCAAAGAGAGTTTCAAATATTAAGCCACAACCTGCCTCTCCACAAATGGGAAGAATGCATTTGGTGACATTATGCAAAGAACCCAGTTAGGCACTTTTCAGTGTACCAGAAGGACTCTATGCTACCTTTTTGTTATTTTTGAGTTCTGAGATGCCATAGATGGTGCCGGCTGCAGCTCACTGGTGGTGTGAGGATCAGCAGCCAACCGCTCCTCACAATGCCCAGGACACATGGCTGCCAGGATTCAGCGTGACATCATATCCCGGTGGCCAACACACTGTTAATGGGCAGAGAGAGCATGGGCTAAACAACCACTACCGAACATCGAGGCAGCTGCTGGTAATATAACGTGTGTTTTTGGGTCAGTCAGTGAGTGAAGGTGTGTTATTGAATACATGTGGCAGTGTGTTCGCACCGTTCGTATTCCATGCACGCACATGGCGCACAAATACAACACACACATCGAGTACACACTATGAGGGGGAGATTATGGAAGGGCAGAGTGTAAGACAGAGTATTTCACAAGACTCCAAAGGGCAATACTGAGGCCTAAATAGTCATGTTATGACTAGCAGAGTTAGAAATTTTCCTTCAGATCCGCTATATTGTTTACAATTTTTTCATATATTTTTTATTGTGAAAATTCAGATTTCAGCAAATAGCCCTGTCAGTGTTCAACGCTCTTGGCAGGTGCCCCAATCCTATATTTTTTTAAATTTATTTTCAATTGAAAATATTCTATGTCCGGGTGGTATTCTCAGATGGTCCCTTGATATAGACCTGGCCATTGAGGGGGCACAGCGGAAACAAAGAAGGCACTCAGTCGACTGGGAAGGAGATTACTCACACTGACACAGTGGCAAGGTGTAAACCAAAAGCTTGATATGTATGGTTGGCAAAATTATATCAAGATGGCATGCACACAAATTATAACACATTTTAATCCTACAGGTTATTCTTACTGCAGACCATGAATCGGCATCCTTATTAGTTTCTGTTCCAATAATTTTCTAACATTTTCCTAAAATGGTGTCTTGGTGAATTGTTTCTGTAATTCTTATCAAGCTATCTTCTAAACATGTGCAATATGTCGTCTTTAAAGCCCTTTGGCACTTACAAATACTCTTATCGGTTTACACCACAACACTTCTAAACCTAAAATGGAAGGCACAGAATAGTGAATGTTTATTCACTGCACAGTTTTATGGATTAAACATGTATTTCATCAGGTTAAGTAGATTGTCACAGGTGGCTAGTAGATTGGGCTACCACTTTAGTCCTTGGGTCAAGTAGATTTATTTATTTATTTATTTATTTATTTTATTCCACACCCTTGCTGGCTATTTCCCTCTTTTCTTTGGCAAAATATTTCTGGAAGATACTTGCAAGCAAAACCTTTTTGATGTATTTGTTTAATAACTAGTTGATGCTTATTTGGCATTATATTTCTAGGCTGTTGGTACAGAGAGTGGTCAGGATTAACTGAGTACATAAGTGCTGCCTTGAAGTGACATACTAGAATGCTATCTGCTAAAAAAATTATTTCCCAACAGGCTGAATACAAAGGTATCAAGAGTAATTGTATCAATGCTGCAAGGACACTTTTAAAAGATGAGAAAGTCACTATATTGCTTGACCGATATGTCAAGGTAGGTGTGACATTGTCTGAGAATATGTGACCTTTTTTTTTAAATTTATTTTTTTATGTAAAATTCTGCTTTATAAAGTGGAGTGCACAAGGATGAGTTTTTGATGGCAGTTTGCAGTATAATGAAGGTACATGATTTGAAAGAGGAAAGCCGGTTAATTAGACCAATTTTAAAGGATTGTAAATTTGAGGCATCAGTTATGTTAGCCAACACCAAACTTTAAGGGATACTGCCTGAAAACAAACTTAAGGTTAACAGTTCCAATTGATTGTGACCAAGTATATTTGGTCTTGCCATTTTGTTAAAATGAATTGGAGCTGCAAGTTACGCTAATGCCAAACCCTTACTTAAGTGTGGAATACCTAATCCTTAACCACTAAGTTTCACTTTACATTACTTCAACTCTCACTAATCACCCAAAGCAGGTAGAAAGCCAATGCAGGTCTTTCCTGCAACAATCCCAGGGGTAGGCAACCTTTGGCACTCCAGATGTTTTTTATTGCATTTTCCATAGTGCTCTAATGTAATGCTGACAAAGCATCAGTGGACACGTAATCCACTACATCTGGATTACTGAAGGCTGTCTACTCGTGCTCTATCCAAACGTGTTTCCACTTTTTTTTTTTTTTTGCCCAAGTGGTGCACAATGTTTACACTGTGAACTGTTGAATGAAATAAGTTTTTTGATAATGTCCAGTTCACACCTAATATCTGCATAACAGACTCATTCTTGCTGTCATCAATTCTGGGGGGGTCTACATAAAGAGACCCCACCCCGATCCCCTCTGTATAATTCCAGTTTGATGCCCTTATTTCTCACTTTTTTCTTTGTGATTGCAACTATGCCCCTTTTCTCACATGGCCAGTTGCCCTCCCTTTAAGAATGTTCTAATTATTCTGTGTGACCATTTAGTCTCATAATTGTCTTGCATCATGACTCATTTTGTGCTCATTCCAGGGTGATAATCCATTCAGAGAGACAAATGAGGATGAATTAGCAGAACTGGAAGACCTTGTAACTGGGGAAGATGAGGCATCCGAACTCACCAGTGATATTCCAGACTGTGACATTACTGGGATGAAAGAAGAAAAACAGTGTGAACACAGCCCGCAGAGGGATGAGGGGCTGGATAAAATGCCCAATGATGGGGTGTCAATTAGTGGCAAAGAAGAAGATGCTGCAGAAGCTCCATGAACAAATGACAGTTTGGCACATGGATCTCTTTTGGGCTATCCAAGCTAAAGTCCTGTCATTAATGCCCATCTAACTTTTGCTCTCATGTTTTACAAGTAAACCTGACCTGCTGGCTAAGGAATTTGTCTAACAAAAGAAGCGCCCAAAGCAAGAGATTGTTTGTTTTCATAATTGGAACGGTTTTGGTAATGTATGAGAAATGTGTGCATACGTGCTTCAAAATTCCTGCACATCCATCCATACATAAAGTGACTGCAAGGAAACAACTTGGTGCGCAAAGTCCAGAATCAGGAGTTTTTGATGCTGCTTTTGTTAAAATTTTATATCAGGGGCCAAAATTGAAATTGTGAGGGTAATAGCCGAACCAGATGTACTGGCTCTGGAAAAGGCATAAATGCTTAGTATTCAAAATGAATACAAGATTTCAGTTTGTATTTCTGTTTTGCAGAAACATACAATCTAACTTTTCTGCCACAGATATATGACCTTCTCTGCCACTTATTTTCTTTTCAAATTGGTTTTTATTAAAGTTTTACAACAAAAAAATAATGAATAGCAAAACATACTATTCGGGGAAGGCAAGGGAAGGGAAACTTGGAAAAAATAAAGGGATACATCCATAATAACAGTGAACATTGTATTGCATTTACATTCTATTGTGTATCACAAACATAATAGCAGGTGACCGTTATAAACCATAGGATTCTTTAACACTGTTTTCCCATTGATCCCAACTGTATTGAAGTTGCACAAATAAACTGACTTTGTCTATATGACATTTCGTGCATTTTATTGTCCGAAACTAAATTTAAAATTTTTGAGTGAAAGGGTATTAGGTGATATCCAGTATTGTGGCAAACAAGGTAGCAGCAATTAGGTTGTGGCCTATGATTCTATATATTTTGGCAACAGACTCCAGTAATTGTTTGAATAATGCTAGTTCGGATGTTAGGGTGCTAATGGATGGGTCTAATTTCATGTATTACTTTCAATATTCAGACAATTTTGGGCAGAACCACCAAATTGAGGCCATGTTACCTACACCTCCGCAGTCCCTTCAACACCTGTCAGAGTATTTGTCATTCATATTGTGTAAACGGGATGTTGATGGATACTATCGATAAAGAATCTTGTAGTGGTTCTCAAGATGGTTTGTGCAGTACGTAATGCCCTTAAGAGCTGTAAAAAAAGTTAAACCATTCCTCCAGACTGTATTGCGTATCCATATCCCTCTCCCATGATATGTGTCCACTTATTTTCTGTGTGGACCTGAGAGCAATGTTAATAAGTAGCTGTGCCATAGTTCAGAAGAAAGCATGGCGTCAATGTGCAACTATTCACCAACTGCCTCTGTTTCTCTAGCTGGTTCAAGCAAGCATTGAGCACCCTAATCACCATCACTGCTTAGCATTATGACTCCTATGATACCCAGACAGACTGTGGCTAAAAGACCAGGAGCCACCTTCCACAGCAATGTCTCTTTTGGCCTTTTATATTTTGCCTTCATCCAAGCTTGATTTCTTCTTTCTCTCTTTTGAGAAAACATCAGTTCAGAATGGGCGTTCCTTCTACAAAAGATCTAGTTATCCTATCACTGGAAAATTGGTTTATAGGTGACTAAAGTGGCAGTGTGTACTGGCGACATTTTAGAAGTAAGGTTATCTTGAAGAACCATTTTTCCAGGCAAGCAATGTTTTCCCTCTCAATATCTGTCAGACACAGCACCCCTAAATGGCATTTTAGTTTGGTATTTGTTTTATATTGTCTGAACTGTTAAATTTTAGCGTATTAAGATGTAAATAGTTCAATTTGAATTAAAGATATTTGCCACACTAACTTGTTTTTTAATTTTTTTTGAGATCCCTGCATTTTGGTTTCCATCAAACAGTTTAGTTATGTGAATAAAAGCAAGATGATCTTACTTCATTACAAACACAAATCTAGCAGAATGTACCTTGTTCTAGTTTTTAGATACGACTAACTTAAAGGACCACTATAGTGCCAGGAAAACATACTCGTTTTCCTGGCACTATAGTGCCCTGAGGGTGCCCCAACCCTCAGGGTCCCCCTCCCGCCCGGCTCTGGAAGGGGGAAAGGGGTTAAAACTTACCTTTTTCCAGCACTGGGCGGAGAGCTCTCCTCCGCCCCGCCGGCTGAATGCGCACGCGCGGCAAGAGCTGCGCGCGCATTCAGCCGGTCGTATAGGAAAGCATTTACAATGCTTTCCTATGGACGCTGGCGTGCTCTCACTGTGAAAATCACAGTGAGAAGCACGCAAGCGCCTCTAGTGGCTGTCAATGAGACAGCCACTAGAGGCTTTGGGGGAAGGCTTAACCCATTAATAAACATAGCAGTTTCTCTGAAACTGCTATGTTTATTAAAAAATGGGTTAATCCTAGAGGGACCTGGCACTCAGACCACCTCATTAAGCTGAAGTGGTCTGGGTGCCTAGAGTGGTCCTTTAACTCACTTTTTTTTTTTTTTTTCCTATCTAAATGAGAGTTCAAAACATATTGTATATTTACTTTCCTGAAGTACATTTAAGCATCTATTTAGTAAAAAGTTTCCTCCTTCCAAAGCACCAAACAAACTTTGGGTTAATTAAGCAGTTTTGGTGTGTGTGTGTATACTACTATTCCACTATTATTTATATAGCGCCATCAGATTCCGTAGCGCTGTACAATGGGTGGACTAACAAACATGTAATTATAACCAGACAACTGGATGTGCAGGAAAAGAGGTGGAGGGCCCTGCTCAATGAGCTTACATTCTAAAGCAGGCATTGGCAACCTTTGGCACTCAAGATGTTTTGGACTACACCTCCCATGATGCTTTGCCAGCACTATGGGTGTAATACATCCATAGGTTAAAGGACCACTCTAGGCACCCAGACCACTTCAGCTTAATGAAGTGGTCTGGGTGCCAGGTCCTTCTAGGGTTAACCCATTTTTTCATAAACATAGCAGTTTTAGAGAAACTGCTATGTTTGCGAATGGGTTAAGCCTTCCCCTATTTCCTCTAGTGGCTGTCTCATTGACAGCCACTAGAGGCGCTTGCGTGCTTCTCACTGTGATTTTCACAGTGAGAGCACACCAGCGTCCATAGGAAAGCATTATGAATGCTTTCCTATGTGACCGGCTGAATGCGCGCGTAGCTCTTGCCGCGCGTGCGCATTCAGCCGACGGGGAGGAGAAGAGGAGGAGAGCTTCCCGCCCAGCTCTGGAAAAAGGTAAGTTTTAACCCCTTTTCCCCTTCCAGAGCCAGGCGGGAGGGGGACCCTGAGGGTAGCTGTACTATAGTGCCAGGAAAACGAGTATGTTTGTTTGTTTTCCTGGCACTATAGTGGTCCATTAAAACAGGCAAGAAGAAAGAAGACATATCACAACAATTAGTGGATGCAGTACTATGTTCGACTCCTTTAGCGGAGGGAGACCACCCAGTAAAAATAATCATCCCAGTGATGTCCTGTATCTGCCACTATATTGTTACCTATGCTGTGTAGTTTATTGGCAACTATGAATTATTTTCTCTAGTGCATGCAAAGAGTGGTTAATGATGGCTAGGTGGTCAGTATTGTTGACACTGTTAATTAAGGATTGTAGAGAAACAGAGTATCCAAATCAAGAACTTGTGGGTGCCAGATGGAAGTTATGGTTAATTCTGGGATGAAGGTAATCGTGTCATTGAACTACTTGAGCATTGTCCGGTTCTGAAAGCATCTTGCAAACGGCGTAGGGATTCTGGCTGAGAACATGTAAGGTAAATCTACAAAGGGGCTAAGTTCCATATACATGTCTATCGGACCAGGGGTCACTGTCCAATCACACACTTACAGAATGTTGAAGCATACAAGGCTCCTCTATCTTAGAAGTCGGTTTGCAAATTAACCCTTGTGAGGACTGAAAGCAATTGGAACTATGGTGGGTTACATTCTTGGTGTCAATCAGATCCCCTAAAAACTTACCCTGCCCAGTATTGGACACCTAAATGGGTGGACCAAAGATAACTGGAAGCACAAGGAATTTACACATCATATTGTTCAATACTGATGCACATTGTATCATTACAGCTTTGTTGGTTAGTATCAATTTTAAGCCACATATCAGGGTTAATACGTTTACCAAACATATTGCATGCAGTGGAAGCCTATAGATTCAGGGGGTTCATTTGTGCAGTGTCTTTCTGCTAAAGCATGTATATGTATTGCACGCTACAAGCAGTATACTTAATGTATTCAGTGAGATTGGTTAGTATTTGCTGGGTTGCATACACACTCATGTTAAATAGCTGAAGGGCCTTGTAGGATGTGGTATAGACATTAGGGAGAAATATGGAAGGCATCTATTGGGCTTGTAACTTGAGTGCACTGTCCACATCTGCTATTTTATTTCTCACTACCTCTAGAGCCATAGCATTTAGAAACCTTAAACAGCTGTTCCTGTAGCTCCTAACAAAGTTTCATACATGCCATTCTCTCTTTGGTCTGGAACAGGGCTTACATTTACAGTGCTTACAGTATTTGATATGTAACATGGATGAGGCCCACTTTGGTAGAAACATTCTGACATGTAGCTGGCAGACGTACCAGATTTTCAGCAGAAACCCTTGGCTTCATCCCCAGATTAGTTACAAGTGACAACCATATCTGCCTATCATGTATTACTGAATTGTTAGAACATGCAAAGGTGTGGAGGTGAGTCATGTTCACCACTATACTAGCACTCACAGTCACTGATCGCTCTTTCAAACATCTCATTACCTTAGTCACTGTTTTTCCATCACTGTCTCCCCAATCAGTCTTTCATACATGAGCTATTGATGAACCCACAAGAAACCGAGATGTTTTGGAGCCATGTCACACTGAAAGTCATGTCTTTGCCTAGGTACAGTCAATTCCGTTCCACCCCCTATACCAATGTCCATTATCTTTTCTGATGCTAGCCAGTCTGCAGCTGGGGAGGGACATGTTAAGGCAAAGCAGGTGTAATTGTCCTAAATTCTGTTTGAATTTATGTTCCAGCTAAAAAATACAGTGTTGGGGGCGGGGCCTGACCGCCATGCTGACCGGTCGCAGGCTAGAGAGGCTCCTGACAAATTTGGTCCCCTATGGCACAAAACTTTAACAACAAAGCAATCTGAGTGACCAGAAGCTGTCTTAAGCACCCAGGCAGAAGCCGGAGCCACCGCAGTCCCTGAGATCGGGAGTTCCAGAGCCCCCAGCGGGCGATATGGGACTTTGGGGCCTGCGGCCTATGAGGGTGGAGAGCGGGACGGACGGCCAGCCGCCGTCCTGCTTGTGAACCTGGCTGCCCGGAGGCAGCCTTGCGATGCGCCTTGCGGGCCTCGCTTCCCCCACCCATGGACCGGGGGGTTATCCCGGTCCCCATCGGAGGGAAACACCGCCCTACAAAGGCTCTACATCATGCCTACCTGGAGTTATGCGCAACGAGCCAGGGCACTAAAATGGCGGCGCCACTATCTGCAATGGACGACGCAACCTCGCCTGTCTGCAGACGGAACCACCTTGCTGAGCATCACCCCTACCGAACAAGCCGGCACACGATCCTGCCTCCTGACTACATGGCGAAGGGGCTGGGGCTGGAGATGGAGGGCAGAGTCGGCGTGAGAGGCCCACGGAACCTCAATTCACTATATGTCCCTGAGGACGCGTCTGAAAAAGACTGATCGATGAGGCCCACCAGCGGCACTAGCGGTAACCTTGCTAAACTACTGATCCAAGGCGATACCACAGCAATAATGCCCATTGATTACCCTCAACGCTCGCACACAACTAGGCACCGCTAACCGAGGTGACGCTTGCCTCCAACACGAGACTCTTATGCACAGTCCCCCATGCCTCATCATCATTCAGGATGGCTAATACCAGCCTCGGACTTACCGACTACGCCATGCATCTCTCGGTGACAATGCAAAACTGACGGAACCTGCAGCACTCTGTGGACTGTAGCATGTATAGGGACAGATCTATCCACAGTGATTTCAGTCACTAACACTCACCACAGCATGTTATACCGCTATCTTAATTAAGCTTTTCTCTAGCTGCTAGCCTATGCCAGGAGCTTCGTTGGTAAGCGATCCCACATTGAATGCATGTCTAATTCTATACCTTAGATCACCTCGCCATTGGCAAGCAGTGTAAAGCTCCACGTTTCACTTACCATTTTGAATCCCCGACACCTGTAATCACAATCAGTGGGTAGCATATGGCGGTGTTCTCGCCTCTCTCCTCAAGCATTGAATACAACCAGTTCGTTAATATTTCTTACCTTATACAAAAATGTGCAGCAGTCTTAACATGTATACAGTTATTACTTATGACAACTTGTACTGCAATCCAATAACATGTTTATGTCAACCCATGTACTGATCAATGCACTACTAAAATAAAGAATTAAAAAAATAAAATAAAAATACAGTGTTGTATGAACAGTCTGTTAACTTAGTTCCAGGGGTAATACAGAAAGTCAAGGTAAGTATAGCAGACAAGGATATGAAAAGTAACTTCATTCTGGATGAGGCACCAATTTACAGTGACTAGTGTGAATCCAAGTAGATTTTTCCTTCTAGCTTTATGGATGTGGCAGTAGTCAACAGTACTTGGAAAGGACCATCAAATCTGGGTTCTAGACTTTTCCTCCCATGTCTCTTTATCATTACCCAATCTCCAGGCTGAAGCTTGGGGATAGAGGAGTCACTATTTGGATCTGGAATAGAATCAAACACCCTGCCTAATCTTTGGTGTAAGACGTGTACATAGGCAGTCATGTTGTTGTGTTGCAGCTGGAGGGTTTGGGGGAAGTAGAGTCCTATCTTGGGGGCACATCCAAACAGTATTTTAAAGGGGGACAGATGTGTTTTAAGGTATGGAGTAAATCTAATTGAAAAGAGGACTAGGGAGAGGCATTCAGTACATGGTTTCCCTGTCTCTTGCATGGCTTTTGCTATCTTATTCTTCAGGGTGCCATTTGCCCTTTCTACTTTCCCACTGCTTTGGGGATGATATGGTGTATGGAAGGCCTGACTGATACCCAGTGCTTGCATTTATTTCAATTATTTCCTGTATTATGTCCCCAGTAAAGTGTCTCCTTCTGTCACTTTCAATGACCTCCGGTACCCCGTATCTACATACCAGTTCCTTCAGTAGCTTATTTGCTGTTGCCTTCGCTGTGACCTTTGAGAGTGGTAGACCTCAGGCCAACCTGCCTATCTTAGGCAGTTGAATATAGTCTATCTGCACTCTCTGGAACGGCCAAAGTGGCCTTGGCATGTACTTGGATGGTGTTTTAATCACTTGACCTGCATTATTCCTAGTACAAATCATGCAGCTTTTAGTATGTTTCGCAGCAATTACAGTGAAACCTGGAACAATCCAAAATGTATTTACCAAACTGAACATGTACATTTTTGACAGATGCGTAGGTCCGTGAGCCACCTGGGTCAGCATTGGGTATAAAACCTTGGGTAGACAAAGATTCTCACCTTTCTTCCACATCTTGTCAACATCCTGATATACTGCTTCCAGCTTCTTCCATTGTTCTTGTTCTTCCATGCTTGCCTGCTTCTGTAGGCTTTGCAGTATGCCATATGGCACAGTGGGCTACATTTGTAGTAGATAATTTACTGCAAACCAATTAGTTTGAATGACTATCTGTTCCTGTCCAAATTAAAGATAATAAAGTTGCGTGCACG